TGCTGAAACTCTAAGCAAGCACAAAAATAGTATTTTTCTGCTTAAACCTCCTGAGAAAGCCACAGTAAGACATTATTTCTTCCTAAATGTTTTCACAGCTCAAGGAGTTGTCAACTTATATAATTCTAGTTAAAGCTAGGGTGACAGGTCTACCAGTCATCTAAGTTCCCTACTTAGTCAAAGGAGAGAGCAAGGAGCGTTCCCAAACATGATTCTTTCTGAACCAGGTACATAAGATAGAAGGTGCCTGTCTCCGTGGAGTAAGTGGAACCCTGGAACTGTTAGAGGCAAAATTAATTCAATCAGAAAATTAAACTTAAAACAAAATTACTTACTGCTTAACCTAGTCTATCTTTCAAATCACTGAAGTGCTCCTTGTACGGTTCATGAAGATGGTGCAGATCAAGAATAAAATATCCACATGTCCATATCTTGTGTCTAACTGAATATTTATTATACCACTGAAAGGATAACATTTTGTTGTGCGAGCCTGCCAGGTACTCAATCTGAAACACTGAGAAATACAAGCGAGCAGAAATACTCTAGGTTCACCCCCATTATCTTGGTCCCAAAATGGGGAAAAAGAAAGAGGAAAAGAGGAAAAGAGGAAAAGAGGAGAGAGGGAAAAGAAAACACGAGGAGAAGAGGAGAAGAGGAAAAGAGGAAAAGAGGAAAAGAGGAAAAGAGGAAAAGAGGAAAAGAGGAAAAGAGGAAAAGAGGAGGTTATGTGGTCTTCCACACAAATTCAGTGAGGGGGAAGTACTTCAGGCTCTGTAAAACCAGAGAGTTGGGGTACAGTAATTATGCTCTGTTGTCTTCAGTGGGATTTATAAAAGCCAAAGATCCACCCTCTGGCCACCTAAAATTAGTTTTCTTTGCCAAAAGACATATGCAGGATCAATAAAATCATAATCAAAACTATTATACATATTAATACAGCATTTAGTCTCCCATTGAGGTTTTTTCTTCCCTTTTTTTTTTTTTTTTTAAAAATCAGTTCACTGAAAGAAGTCCTTTGCATTTTTCATCACAATCTTATGGCTTCCACCAGATACCTATTTATACACATAGACTTAAGCAACTATGTGAGTGTTAGCAGAGTATCTGAAAGTACACACAGGATTTTTTTTTTTAAACAATCAATAATACTTATATAAGCATATATTTGGCATAACTATTACTGTGACTATAAATTTACATTTGCAAATTATTTATAAATCAACTTCACAAATAATATATCTACAAAAAATAATAAAAATCTGGCATTAGTAAGAAAATAGATCAGAAATGGCTTCAGTAGTTGAGACGAAAATGTAATAAAAACACCTGCAATATACAAAACCTGTTTCTTGCTTCAAAAACCTCAGCAATTCTATAGTCAGTTCAGAGTCTACAATTTAAAGCTGACTTTCCAACAAACCTGAAATTCTTTCATACGCTGTGCAATAAAAGTGTAAGAAGCCAGTTTTCAACTAAGAATAAGATCTACTTATGAAAAATTTCAACAATCAGTTATTGCAGAATACACCAAGATTAAGCAAAATCATTTCTTTAATACCCAGCTCAAGGAGTAGATAGCCATATCCATGTACCCTTCAAGTTGCCTTTTGATTCTCACGGATAGAATTAAATGTTACCTTGGAGGCCTCGACCTGGTGTAAAGTATTTTGTCTGCTCAAAGGCCCTCATCACAGCTGGTCCTTTCAGAAGATTGACAATTGAATCGACCTGTTGGGATCAAGGTTTTGTGAGAAAGATGTTTTTTAGAGCAACAATTAGAAATTCTTTCTTTAAGAAATATGGACTACAGAAAAGCAGCTTTGGATTCTTTCTTACCTAATGGCTCTAGTTAAAATAACAACATAGGGAATGTTAGACTAAATCTAAGGTCTCGTTTAATTCTCAGTTTTGAACTATTTACAGAAAACTGAAGGAGAATGAGTAAATACATACCATCCCAGTAAACAGTGGAAAGCAAAAGTAAAAAGAAAAAGAAGTATTTGCTAAAGACATCTTAGCTCAAACTTGGACATTAGTATCAAAGCCAAGAAAAATAATCTCATACTTGACCAAAAAGATGCTCCAAACAACTATGGAGCTTGTCCTGTTTATCATGGGAGATTCGAACACTTATGGGAAGCTCATCGCCTGAAAAATATTTTAAAATGAAAAATTGTTTAGAAGTTTCAGCATATTTTCCAAACTCTTTGTAGCTTAGATAATCTGCTTTGCACACAGACTGATGCTTATGCTTTCAGGATTATAGCAACTGTTCTCCCCCCATATTTTGCATTTAGTACTCACTCAGTAATACAGAAATAGCTCTTAGAGAAAGGACCATATTCAAAACCCAATTGGACATGGTCCTGGACAGCCTGCTCTAGATGACCCTGCTTGAGCAGGGGATTGGACTGGATGATCTCAAGAGGTCCCTTCAAACCTCAACCATTCTATGACCAAAACGCACAATTCTTCTATGCTGGAGAACATCCTAAACACCAGACTAAATGGCTAAGTAGTGTGAAGGCAATATAGCAGACCACAAAGTCACTGAAATGCATTCACCATAAAATTTTTATAGGGACTCTACAGACAATTCACAATCTTAATGTTCTTACTAATTAAATGATTCTGAGATTTTAGTAATTCAACATAAATAGAGCATCCAAATCCTGTACTTGATATGAAGCTTTTAGTAGTACATACCACATCATTTCCTAAAAGAGTACGAAGGAGAAGGACTCTCCTAGATCACTGCCCTCAGTCACTTGCTCTCTCAGACAACAGGTGATGCAACCTGAATTCTTTCAAAAGCTGTGAAAAATTGAGCTTAAAACTGGTTTTCCTCTTTGCTGTTGCAGTGACAGATAAGAAGTAGCCACCTGATAATTTATAATCCAAATTTATTCATGGTCAATCTAGACTCATTTTTCTTATGTCAGTGAAACACTTAAATAGCACTTTTCTCTCCTTGATTTTTTTTAGCTCCTTTAGATGTCCTTACAGCCAGTAGTTATAACCCTTCACAGTATATTAATTGCAACAGATGGAGCACAGTGCCAAAGAGCCCTGATCTGGAGTTAACCAGGTTAGCTTTGGAACTAGGACAAAATTAAGTCGTCAGGAGAGTGGGAGTTTCACTGAGCAGCAGTATTTATTAACTCCAACACTGTATCTGCACTTGGCTAGCACAGACATATTCTTTTAGGCACCTCAGTTGGTACTTCGGCTTGATGCTGCACAAGTGCGTTATCAGCTCATTTATATCTTAAGTTGAAGATACAGACCCTGGGTCTCCTCTTTTATTAACAGTTCTTTATGTCCTTCATCCTTTCCTCTGTATCTGCTCAGCTCTGTAAGTATGTATCATTTCTGGAAAGCAGCTGCCTAATATTGCATTATTCACAAGGTATCTCAGATACCTTGTGCAATGTCATTAATAATTTGTTGTCCCAACTGAAAATACCTCTCCTGGTACAATCAGAAATAACATTTGCCTTCTCCATGGCCAAGTCTCACTGGTGGCTCATATTCAACTAATATGCCCAGTTCTTTCTTTTCCTAAATCATTCCCAAATGATAAACTTCCAGCTTAGAGCAAATATTTTTCATTATTAGTACCTGAGTATGACCTTGTACTCCATGCAGTTAAATCCCACCTCATTCCTATCAGCAGCTGCATTTATTTAAATTCAGTTTGTCATGGCATAAACAAGAATGTGCTTCTATGTGGCCTCACATTCCTTCCTACAAACATACACAGCCGTATCCTGCCATCCAGGTGCTGACACAGGCTGGGAGAGCTTTCCACACTCACCTAAAATGCTCCTTACTCTGTGCAACACAACGCACTGTCAAGGTCAAGGCATGAAAATGGTTAAAAGCAGTGACTCTAAGAGCTCTAATTCAGTCTATTCACAGAGATACTGGAATGTTGGCTTTCTTTCACAGTAGGACTCTTAAGAGCAGTACTAGCTAGGCAGAAGCAAAATGATACACTTCTGTTACCAAGGAGGATGCAATTTTTAAAACAAAACCAACAAAATTGCCAGGCAAATGAAAAGAATAAAACTGAATAAAAAGAACAGATGACAGTTTCATAGCTGACTTTTCTAAACATACCTGAATCCATTTCATCACTGTGAAAATAAGAGCTGCACTGACTGCTACAAATGCTGGTGAATGAAGCAATGGAGTTCCTATTGCTGTTGCAATCACTTGAAAAACAAAAACAAAAAAAGAAATGAAGTCATGTTCTTTAACACAGGCTCTGTATCAAAGTTATGGCAATTCTTTCCCTTTTCCCGTTTTAAATTTAATGATGAGATGGTCTGTACAATTCTTTATCAGCAATAAAGATCCCTATACTTAAGCTATCATTTAATTGGCAATCCTGGTAGGACTCAGAGGACCAGATTCCCAAAACAGATGATTCAATTGTCTCCCTTCACCTTGCATGTGAACAAGTACTTGCAGAATGATAATACACACTTTCAATGCAAAACAACCAGCTTTTCTTACACGAGTGACAGTTTTTGAACCTGTGGCCTCAAATGTTTTAGTAACTCCACATTTAAATTCTGTACTCCTACTCCATAGCTAATACAAATGACGAAATACTCCGGTTTATTACTTGCAAAATAGAATCCATAATGGGTTTAGAAGAGATTTGATCCATTTGTGTAGCACCAAAACTCAAATTACAAACTATTTTTCCCTGCCAGCCAAAATACAGTTTATGATCCCATCTCTTCCAGCTGTTCATTTTGTTAGAGACGTATAGACATTTACATCTGTGACTTCAGTGAAAACAACTATGCATACAAAATGTCACCCACATAGGTCTAGTAGAGAGATCTGGGGATTAAAATTGGGGGGGGGGGGGGTTCTCCTCTTTTCTCTCAAAAATAACTTGTTCTGTACAGAAAATAGATGGAGAACATATCTACTTCTGCAGCATAAACAGAGTAAAACATAGCCTTTTGTACCAAAAATCCTATGAATATAAATTTGAATTCAAAGTCTTCAGAGTCATTTAGAAGAAGAAAGTTTAGTTTCAATGCAGGAAATGCTTAAGTAATTATCCAGCAGAGGGAGTCTTAAAAACCCAAGTGAATATAAAAGAATGTAGAAGTGTACCTAAAGGATATTTATATATAATGATCTGGTTTTGGTTTTATGAATTGGGTGTACCCATTCACCAAGATATACATGTCTATATTTTATATAAAATGCTGCAGTTACACATGTACCCATGTGCTCCCTACTTGTTTTCTTTATTTTTGTAAATACAGAAGTGATCTTTTACTAGTTTTGGCATACTGACTTACATTTCCTGGCTAAGGTGTATGTTTTGGACCTGTAGCCAACCAGGTATGTGACTGGGGAAAACTTTTAAATGAAGCAATATGATATAATTACAATCATATTCTTTAAGTAGATGAAAAGACATCAGTAACAACATGTTCCTAACAGAGGGTGAACAGTCCCAAGGAGTATTAAGAATTTCTGGCTGGATATTAAGAAATGTTTTCTAACTCTATTCACTTATTAAAGTCTCCAAGGGGAAGATGAAGGTTATTTAAAACTGGATTGTGCAAAGCATGAGAAAATAAAACACAGGAAAATGAGAAACAGATTAGATGTATTAGCTATATCATTCTGTGTTTTTATTGTGTTGTATTGTAATGTTTAGAATGAGACCGTACAACACAAAATGAGAGCATTCTAACAGCTGAAATTAGCCTACTAGTTCTAATAATAACCACAGTGGCATTATGGGATCTGGAGATTTTAAGTATTGTCTAATGTAATTACTTAAGCAAAGAAACAAAAAATTCCAATCTCACTCCAACAATTGTTCTAAACTCACAGATTTTATGATTATTCTGCATATGGAACCCTAGATTTTATCATTCCTAAACAGCCAGAGTGGACCATAAATGACTGGAATCAGAATAAAGAAAACATTTTAAATGAAGACACACTCATGTCCTAAGTCACACCTTCTTTCTCCACATACAAATCTTGTGCCAACTGGGGAAGTTCCCAGCTGGAGCAAGCACAGGCCACTGGAGCAGCTCCTGCACAGTCAGTTTGACACATCATGGACGTGCAGAAACCCCTAAACGCGCTTCAGCTGGAACAGCACTTTGCTTGAGTATTCACCATGGTTAGAACAAGATAAACTTAATATGTGCAAATTACCTCTACATTTATTTCTGCTCAAATTTATACGTATATTTCTGTTTCTACTCACAAAGAATTCCTATCTACCATGCTGCAGTAATCAAATATTAGCTTACGAAAGAGATCTAAACAATACAGGGTTCTGTAGAAAAACGATGACCCTATTGAGATTCTACTTTCTGAGCATAATAATGAACCATGATAATGAACAAATAATGAGCCCTTATTTTACTTGCAGCTAAAATTTTAAATTAGATTTTATATCATGTAGTTAACCAATTCTCTCTAAGCAACAGAAGATAATCTTTATAAGACCTATGCTTGCTATAATTACTCCTTCCTTTTCAAAATTCTTTGTATTTTCATTCACAGTAAACATGATGCATTATGAATTCTAGAGATGAGATGATGCTACAATATTTAGAGTGGAAGAAGGCAACGAATATATGTTGAGAAACAGATTTTTTTTTTTCTTTAGATCAGCAAGAGTGGTGGCTCTGGCATCTTGCTTTCCATGGCAGATATTTGGTTTGTCGTTAGGGAACATAATAACAGAAATTATTTCTGTTTTTTATACGACAGGTAATCTAAAGTAAAGCTTTACAGCTCTGGCTGTGATATCCTATAAAGGTTAGGGATAACGAGATCTAATAACTAATCTGTACTCATAAAAGAGTTTATTTTACACATCTTGTAGCACATCTTGATGCTAGTTATTCCTCTGTTAGAAATGTCAGAATCATTATATTCTGATAGTCTTCATAGCCACTTGATAGTCTACAAACCCACAGGTTTGATTCAGTTGAGAAATAAAAATATTATTAGCAAAGTTACCTGTAAGAATCCCTGTTGCTGATGGTATCATGACCAGAATCTTCTTGTTCATCACCTGTCACGCTGAAACAGACTTTCTTCCCATTCCTTTCCCCCTTTTCATTATCAATGTCTGCCGGTATTAAAGGCTCAGGTGTTTTACGTTCTGACTTGGGAGAATATGTTATTGAAGAAAGAAGGCTGTGAGACAATTAAAAAAAAAAAAAAAGATAAATTAATGTTTTTCAAAAGTGAGCTAACAACAAGATAACATTTCTCGTCAACGTCCTCCAACTATTATTCTGTAATATATGAAGGGAACATCTTAATTCAGCCCATATCTATTTGAAACAAGGGAATAAAGTGACACATTCTGCTGTAAAAAGTGTAAAAATAAAACCCATTAGCATTACTAAATACTCAATCTTGTATGAAGGCAATGATTACGGCTGGGGAAGAAATACAGCACATTCTGAACACTTGAGGTCAAATTTTATATTAACATAACTATTTTTAAACACAAACCATGTACTTCTCAGCACAAATCAAGAAAACAAACCAAAGAAACTATATCTCTGTGAAAAGCATGTATTTTCTTAATTACTACTGTACCAGACATGCCAGCCTGCATCACAAGCTATTTTACTAAGGCATTTTAAAAATCTTTATTAACATATCTGTGTATTTCCTGACATTCAAAGTGTCTAAGCCACTATCACTAGTAAAACTGATGATTAATCTACAAACTTCTGTGACAAGCACAAAAGTGACATCCAGTCAAGAAGAGAAAACAGTGCAGACTGCTACATTTAGAACATGCAAAAATACTGGAAGCAAAAGATTCATATTCTTGGGTGATTAACTTATATTGAGATGTTCTAATTCACTTTCAAGATCAGAACAGATATAATGGGCAATTGTCCTTTAATTCCTATTACTCAAACACTCCATTAGAATGATGCTTTCAAACTAATATTTGGATTTGAAAGGCAGCATTTTTCTTGCAAAAACTATCTTCTAACTACCTGAAATCAGAAAACATTGAATTAAGCTTTTTTTCCTGTAAAGTACTTAGACACAGTAGCAGGGTTTTATTGTAGGAGCTGTCAGAATGGTCAACTGGCAAACTTTCTACCAAATACATGGCAGGATTTAAACATATGTTAGATCTTTTTGTTAGACATAATTCTTACTTCTGAAGGGAAACTATGGGAGATGCGTATCTTTTGTGAACAAAAACGCTGCCCTAATTGTCATTAAATGGTAGCATTCAGAATTCCTTCCTTTAATCTTATTTCTCACCACACATATTAGTATTGTTACATTACACACGGGGGGAATTCTGATCTTAAGTGGTTTAGAGTTCCATCTTAATTTTGTGGGGCTCTGCCAGTTGAAGTCATTAATTCTTAATCCTAACAAAGTTAAGTTTGTTCAGCTACAGTTACATCAGTACTGAGCTATCAATTTCTCTACTCTTTTGACAAAGATATTCTACGAGAAAACAACCTGATCCTAAGCTGTTCTTGAAAGCTGAAGTTTCTGGACTCAAACCAATGACTTTTTGCATACAAAACACAGACAATGTGTTCAACGCCATGTTCAACTATAACGTTTTTGAGTATACACAAATAATTTCCTGACTCTCAGGAATGGACAGAGTTTTAAGAAGGAAATTAAGAAGCCATACACTTTGGAAACGCAATAGGGTAGATCATCCCTATAATGCTGTCTGTTGACTCTATAGCAATGAATACATACCTCAAATGGTATATCAATGGTCTCACTGAAATCATGACCTGATAGGTGTTAACATAGGGTTTGACATTAACTTTAGGGAAACAAGGATGATAAGTAAAGCTTTTTAGCAAATCCTTTCATCATTTCTGCATAACTTTCTCTGGCTAAGAGCTAACAAGAGATAGACAGGTATTTGTCCCACATATAGGAAAAGGTACTGAACTGTAACTGAAATATAGAAAAACTACACAAAAGGTATAATTTTACTGGACTTTAAACCCACCCATCCACTAGACAGGCAACTTTTGGGCTACATGATGCCTTAACACTTCATATCAGTGTGAAATCACAACTCAGTTTTTCCCTATTGCTTAAGTCACAAGTTAGCAGGGTTCCATAAGGACGGGAAGAAAAATGGGGCCCATATTTTACAGCAGTGTTCAGTTTCAATCTATCTGCTAGAGCATACATGTTATTGAACGTGTCCTAAAATAAATGTGTTACAAAAATGTAGACCTTAGAAAATCAGTTCTTCGTACATGTAAAACTTATTTTCTGAATATGAAAATATAAAAGGGGTTCAAAAAGGGATTAGACAAATTCACGGCAGATCATTCTAACAGTCCTCTTAAAACAAAAGGTCCATCCCAAGAAGACCTTGTAGTACTGCCTGCTGGAAGATGAGGTGAAAAAAAGACAAGGATTAATCTATACTTTTGCTTTTTCTTGTGTTCCCGTTATCATCCACCTCTAGGAAAACAAAAATGGGCTTTGGGCAGATCCATTCTGGTAAATTCTTAGGGATTTTGTTGTTGCAAGAAAATAATCAAGAGTAAGAAACAAGCATAATGAACTGCAATTTCAGCTCCTGAAAATATCATCCCCTAAGTAATTATTTGTCAAGACACAGACAGACTATTATATCCTCTTCTTTTATGTGACTGTTTAGTCAATGCTGCCAAGATCTCAGTAAAAGACTGATGAAGGTAGCTGGAGCTTTTCCTAAGGGAGCTTTTCACTTTCTCTCAGCAGGCAGGCTCTTTTTCTAAGGAAAATTTTTTTGCTGAACTACCATGAACGAAAGCTGGAACTTTGGATAACAGAGTTCTGGAGCTGGTAGTTCCTGAGGTAACTGAAGTGCTCTTAAAAACCCAATTCAGGGACTCTAAAACACACAAACCCAAAACTGGACGGAAAAAAACCCCAATAATCATGCTTAAATAGACTTTTTATAAGTGGTTTTTTTTTCTTCTTAAACACAGCACATGTACATTATATTTTCTTTGGAGATGGGTCTACCCCAAACAAAATTATCTTAGATGTCTATCTCTCATAGGAGAAATACATGAATGAGTAGTAACTAACAGCTAGAAAGTCTCTGTAACTATGAAGAAAATTTCCATGAAACAGAGAAATTTAAATCACGACAAAAAAAATCCTTACATGTGGAATTAATCCTATATGCAACCCAAATCAACACAATCCTAAAAGTATGTCAGAAACAAACAAAACTTGCTATGGTCAGTCAAAGCATTAAAAATGGATAGCCACAGGCAGTAACAAAAAACCTACACAACCTGTGATCTGCTCTGCCTTTTCCTCACTCCACGGAGGCTCAGAAAATATTCAAGCCTCTTGTATACTCCCAACAGACACCTTTCCAAAAAACAGCTGGGATCATAGGAGCACATTGAGTGCATCTGAACCAAGAACACAGCAGAGTCACCATATAGAAAACAACTTGAAGAAGGACTTATTTCTGTATAACACCTAGCATCAATGGTGGGTATCTGGCAATGGTACTAAAGAAGTACTGGGACACTATTGAACTATTTGAATGGGGAGTCAGTGCAACTTTGAGAGGCTGTGGAAAGGGGATATATATCTTTTTTGTGTGTATCTATCTTTCTTGCTCCATCAGTTCTGCATTTCTTATGCAACCCGATCTCATCAGCAAGCCATGACAAAAGTTATTATGAAGATAATGCTAGGAGTACACAACATTCTCTTAGCCATTCCCTTCCCATAATCCACAAGCTCTCACTGCTTTCACCTGCTCTTCAGGTGAAACACTTATTTTTCAGTTCACTTTCATTCACTAACAGATAGGAGAGGTTGGGCAGATAACACCCTCCCAAGATTTTGGGAGTTCAGAGGGAGACCATTACTGACCTCAACACAGAGCAAAGACATCTAGTACCATGAAAGAGCGACAGTTTTTCAACAGTACTGTTATAAAGGGTACCGAAGAGTCATTTAGTAGCCCAATTTTTCTATCATTCAATATCATATAAATTTAGAATTGTGATACCATGTTCATATTTTCTGTTCTGAGAAAATTATAATAATGAGGATTGCTTATAATAATAAGCAATTCAGTAAATAAAGACCTCAATTTTATTGTTGCTGTGTCGTAACAGAAAACAGAAGTTCTACAGTCTATTTTATAAAGTTCAAGGATCGGTATGTTCAAGCATTTCCTCCTAGCTGCTGAAGTATGAATATTTCTAATTAAAGCACAGCTGTTTGATTACCCTGTCTTATTACTCTGTCTTTTGATTCCTAGTAGTCCTAACTTTTCTCTGAAGAGTTAATTAGTAGCTGTAACTATGTTCTAATATAATATACCACGTATTGCTTCCCTCTTCCCTGTTCAGCATTTTTAAGTAGGTCCCTTGGCTATCCTGTTTCCTGTATAGAACCGCTTTCCTCCACAGTAATTACACACTGGCAGTCCACTCGAAGTCCGTGAGGAATAAAGCATGAAAAGTCTGTCTTACAAATAGCAAAAGGTAAAATTTGCTAAATAAATCTGTGCAGCTTATACAAGATCTGCTACAAGGTCAGTGTACAGGAAATTTATGAAAGAAAAAAAAATGAACCCTTGTGTTTACTGTCACAACTGTGTGACTCTCAAATGAATATATGCATATATATATATGTATATACCGGTACACACAATGTATCTATCTCTGTGTGTGTGTATTTATATATACATGTGTATGAAAGAAAGGCTCAGAAGTTCCTGTGCTTTTGCATGACAGGCTCAAGGGAGTAGAAGGGAAAGGCATGGCAGACTGGTACCTGGAACTTCCTGAAATATTGACTGAACTTCCATATACAATTTTCTGACTTCCTTGAGGAAGAGTGACAACACAGGCTTTACTGACAGTCATTTTTAAGTGCACCCAAGCACTGAAATTATCTTAAATTTAATTAACTGACTTCATCTTCAGCATGATAATTAGCAGAACTATATAAAGGCACAGAAAACAAAGTTTTCTTTAAAAAATTTGAGGCCACTCTTACTTTCATTCCTATTGCAGTATGTAATACATTACAACTACTTATTAGTGTGTAACTATTACATTGTATTACTATTAGAACACTACAAAAAAATTCCCACTCTGAAATAACAAAAAAATTCCCACTCTGAAATAACTATGAAAGGACAAATCATTGTACAGTCTTCAAAATAACAGGAGAAGCAATGATACATTACTTTTCCAAACTGGAGATCATGAAAAATTGGCTTTTAAACTCAAAAAATTGTGTTATTTATATTTTCAAAATGAATAATTTCTGATATTTGCAGTACATGTGGGATCTTTCAAAACTGAAAGACTATCATCCTTCTTCATCCTCATCCCAAGACAGCAAATAGCCTAGCAGTCAACCCACTTAGCTCACAAATGGAAAAGCAAGTTTTAAATCCTTGTCCTGAACTAGGACAAACTGTCATGAGACTCTGGGTCTCCCACATTCAAGCCAAGTGTCCTAATCACTCAAGAGTGGCTCTCCCTAGATCCATAGTTCTTCATTAAGGCCAATTTGTTTTTGAAAAATGTCTAACAAATTAATAATCTTCCTATGGGTGAAAAATGCTTTTCCTACAAATTTGTCTTCGGGACTATTCAGCAATAGTCCTGAAAAGTTCAGTAAAAGCTATTTTTATACCTCTGCCCTTTGTTTCCATTCCTAGTGAAATTTCAGATGACATGTGGGCCTCATATTTCTCTCACCTCAAAATAATTAGCATTTCCACATTCTAGAGAAAAGCTACAAACTAAAGTGGGAAAAAATCAGGGACGCTGGGAAAAAGAACAAAATATAATATTACCTACTCTTAAATTCTTTGCCTCATTTCAATTCTATCTGAAGTCAACATTGATCCTACACTACACAAAAAGGATACCCAGATTTATTGGTATCTTCAATGGAAAAATTAAAGGCAAATACAGATGGTAACATTTACTTACTCATCTATTTGACAAACACATGTTTCCACCTCTTTCAGTGCAGCTTGTAATTTGATCAGCAATTTTTGATAGACATCTTGTGTTTCTAAATCTTCTTCTTTTAAGAGGTACCTGAGACCATGGCCCTCTTGCTGGCCAAGAGACTGTCCTGAAGGGGCAGCCATAGTAGCAATGGTATGTTGGACATAAATCATGGGATTCAGTTTACCTGGGAATAATCCAAAGACGTTACATCATTATCTTTTTTTCAACATACATTTTGAAGTTAGTAAAATACCTAACAGACATTGAAATATTTTCCTGCTTAAAACTTTATGTAATTATTTAATTTTGCATTTTATTTTGCATATCAAAGTCAAGCTATTTAAGGAAAAAGTTATTGTGAAATTATGACTAGCCTTTATTATGCTTTAAAATAAACCTAAGTATCGGAAATAGCAGGATTTCGTAAAGGCTTGTCCTTGATTTTAATATTTGGGACATAAACCTAAACCAGTTACCTTTTAAGACCCTATATCAGAAGCACTGGAAGTAGTTCCTTCAAGCTCAACTGACTTACCTTGATCAGTATTTTTATTTTCCTTCTCATGGGAAGAATGTTTTCTGCTGTCTAACTGTACGCCAAAGGCACTACCAAGGGAAGTTGAGGTTTTAGGGTAAGAAACTTCCATCACGTTGATATGGCAATTGGTTGGACAGAAATCACTGCTGTGAAGTGGTGAAATCTTTGACTTAGCTTGTTTGAAGGTAGGCCAAGCTCTGTTTTTTAATACTCTTGAAAACTATAAGTGAGAAAGAAAAAAAAATTTTGATTAACAGCTTTTGATGTGTCAGCACTTGGCTGACAAAACCTGTGTACCTGACTAGAAAACAATAGTTTAAAATATTTCAGGCATCCTTGACTTCAGATGCCTTGACTTCATAATTTCCATCTTTCTCTACAAGGGAAAGAAAAAATATTTTTCATTTATATTTTTGAGAAGTTGGTTTTTGAAGTAAATTATATTCACAAATTTAAATAGCCTTGTAACAAGGAGATAGAATTTAGTTTCTTTCCAACATAATAAAATATTAAGTGTCTTCCTGGGGAGAAAGACTGGAAATGCTCTATGATCCAGTGCTGTACCGCACATGACATTTATAAACACCTGTTGACATAGATGTTTTCAAGTCAATGTCTTGTAAAAAATTCTGAAATTTTTGCCTGAAGCTATAATAAAGACAGAATTGGAAGCTATGAATTATTAATTTCATAGTCAGGAAGGATGAAGTCCTCCTTAATGGTTTCCTGGGCTGCATCAGGAGAGGCATTGCCAGCAGGAGGAGGGAGGTGACCCTGCTCCTCTCCTCAGCACTAGTGGGGCCACACCTGGAGTACTGGGTCCAGGTCTGGGCTCCCCAGAAATAGAGAGACATGGGCATACTGGAGAGAATCCAGTGAAGGGCCACTAAGATGGTTAAGGGATTGGAGCATCTATTCTATGAGGAAAGGCTGAGAGAGCTGCGACTGCAGCCTGGAGAAGAGAAGGCTCAGGGGGATCTCACCAATGTATTCAAATACCTGAAGGGTGGGTGCAAAGAGGACAGAGCCAGGCTCTTTTCAGTGGTGCCCAGTGACAGGACCAGAGGCAATGGGCACAAACCGAAACACAAGAGGTTCCCTCTGAACATCAGGAAACACTTTTTCACTGTGAGGGTGACTAAGCACTTGCCCAGAGAGGTTGTTGGATCTCCCTCCTTGAAGATACTCAAAAGCCATCTGGACACGGTCCTGGGCAACCATCTCTAGGTGGCCCTGCTTGAACAGTGGGGTTGGACCTCCAGAGGTCCCTTCCAACCTCAACCATTATGTGATTTTGAGTGATTCTGTGAAGCTGATAAACATTAGAGCATAAAAATTGCAAACACCGTATTTTACAGACTTTGCTAGTCCACCACCTCTTTTCTCCCCCATATATCAGCTAGCAATGATGAACTTTTTTTTTCCCCCTCTGTTTTATGGTCTAATTCTAAAACAGTGCTTAGCTACATCTCCTTCACTATTACACTGAAATTTTGTGCACACTCTTGAACAGGCCGAGTTATTTGTTTTTGATGATGTCAACCGAAAATGGCTAAAACTGAACTGTACTAAATTTGGACACTTGGAAAACACACCTACTTCAGAATCATAAAAGTCATGAGATCAAGCTCTCCCATTGGAAAAGAGACTTGTCAGTCCCAAGTAGGATTTTTGTCAAAATGTGTCCTTTCCAGTGCAGTTTGTTGTTAGGGGAGAATTTTTTCTGGAAAAGACGTAATCAGTTTGAAGTCCCTGGTATTTTAATCACAGTATCTCTCCAGTCAAAATATTGCACAGACCTACCTCAGCTCATGCATAAGAGTATTTTCAATCCCTAATAAATGTCAGTACAAATTCAATCAGTCAAGTTTTGACTAACACTTCAGTTGAACAAAAGTATGTCCCTTTTGAGTAATAACAGGTTTTTGTGCTGGGATTTAAATTTCTGTTTATTTTGGTGTCATATTACTTCAGCCTAATGAACATTTGACTGATTAATTACATTTAAATCTTTGTATCAGAACAAGATCTGGAAGGTTACAAGAAATCCAATTATGGAATTGTTCAAAGGCTGAAGAATGTACAAATAGTTAAGAAGGGCACTAAGGACATTCAACGATGAAAATGTTCCTGCAAGCAGTACATATTTCACATCTCAATCTCCCACACATCCTGCTCCAGAGAGACCAAATGCCTGGCTACGATTTAATCAGGTCATAAGTCAGACCCAAAATTCTTTTCATATATGTGTTGAGAAACATCTGGGACTCATGGCACTGGACTCATGGTCTATTACGAGCAAAATGTTCTGATAATAATAATAGTAGGAACTGCAGAAATCTACAGGGTTTCTATTTATAGAATTCGAACTTTCACAGTGAAACCAGGAGCCAAGCCAGGCTCAGGCACTCTGAAAGTCTCCTGTAACTATGGTTACCTTTACCTTGCCAAGAAAACGACATATCTATTCCTGAAATTCATTGCGTTACTAATTGTCATTAAAAGCTGTAACTGTGAAACTATTGATTTTTGAGCAGATGAGCTTGAAAATGCAGTTTGTATCAGCAATATCTGCTTCTAGACAGTATAAGCACTATGAAAACTTCCCCAAGGCTGTTCATTTCATATCCAGCATAACACAATAAAATTTCGTTTATTGTCTTGGCCTCCTGTAAAGAGACTGTATATCATGCTCAGATTTTTTGGCTACGGGAAATGTATAAACCACCTACATGTTACTTGAACTCTAAATACACTACTATTAATGTTAAAACTAACAAATTTGTTTTTTAAAAAAGATATTTTGATTTGTATCAATTTGAAAACACGGAGGTGTATAATTCAGGCAAACAACGGAGAGATCGGCTGTTTGGTAATGCAGTATCAGAATCCTTTTGATGTCTCCTTCTGTGACTCAACTCCTCAGTTTATTCCATTTCTTATCAGAGAGCACCCTGAAAAGTCTTTGGAAAGCCGCTTTTTGGCCTTCATCCTACTGAAGCTACAGGTTTTCCTTACAGTTTTCCCTCCTTTTCCTTTGAAAAACAAGAAAATATTATCTGTTCATTTCCATGCAACTTTTAGAACTATGTGAAGTTTCTACATTGAACCTCTTTTTCCTTTTCTTTTTCTACTTTTCAATTTTTTGCATATTAACTCTCAGAACAGACCAGTTTGTAAATGTCACAACTCAGATACCCAACTGAGATAAGACAGGGCAGAGACAGTTCTATGTAGCCATTTTGGGCCTACTTCAAACTAGTTCCAAACTCCCAAGAATTAGATTGTATGGGAGAGGAACCAGAAGCCAGGATGAGAAAATAAGTTTGCGTTAACAAATTGGCAAACGGTTGATTCATTTATGCCCTGTTTAGCTAAACAACTATAGAGAAATACACTGACAGCAACTAAAGGTCATAGTCCAGGTTATTTATTCATTCACATCTCATTAATTTAGATCTCAAGTGTATGAAAGTCAGCACCTCCGCCTTTTTTCCATGCTATAATGTTTTACTAACCCAAGTTAATCTAACAATTTACAGAGCTATTACTATTAAGTTATGCTAGAAAAAGTCATACCAATTTAAAGGGCATAAAAGATGAATGAAAGGGTAACAATTTGGTATTTAAAATTAAGATGCATTAGAAGGACAAAAACAATTCCGCTGTTATTGCTTCATTTTTGGTTAACATCTGCAAATTCACTAGAGTATTGGTTTAAGGCATTTACAAGAATGCTGGGCCTTTTGTGGGAAATAAGCAGTTGATTGTATCTACAACTGAACACAGCAAACAAGAAAGGATACGATCTACCAGTGTCTAAAAAAGGGATAATAAAGAGTACGGTTTGAAAACAATTTATGCAATTACTCAGTTTAGGCATTCACACCTCAAAATAGCTAAACTTTCAACCATATTTTTGTCATTGCAATAGACATTTTGAAGAGTCATTCCCCTTTATTTCCCTTAAAAGACAACTATCACCAAGCTTAGGACATGCCGGTCATACCTTTTTATAACTAGAGATTCTTCGGTAGATATGCTCAATTTTCTCACTGCAAATGACACTGAATTTACTTTGAAGCTCGGTGGGGATCACTTCATTTAAGGAATTGAGGCTGTTGCAATTCTGCACAAAATGTTCGTCGCTTTTTGCCAGTGCTTCAAGAATCTAAGATGATAAAAACAAGAGCAGTACATTATGAAATAAGATGACTAAGATAACCCCTTGCTTAACCCCTTTCTTATCATCCCTTATAATTGAAGCTGAAAAGCCTGATAATCAGTTGCCTTTTAACATTACAGGCAATGCTGCATAACAACAATTAATGAAACTTGGGAAGCAAAGAGGTTTCTTTAGATCTATCCCCTGCATAAGTTATACCCATAATAAGTACTTTTATTTGGCTTCTCATTATATTGTCCAGTAATGGATTTACTACTGATTTCCTACTAATGTAACCACTATGGCTCCTCTGAAATACATTATCTGCTGTATTTACTTGAACAGCACATATTAGGCAAAGCTGATGAATTAATTCATTACTTGTAGCAGAACTTTGGTCTGGCAGTATAAGTGATACTAACACATTGAAAAAGTATACAAAAAAACGGAGTGCTATCTTCTTGTACATTCTGCATATATAAACAGGAAATAGGGAACAGAATAAGCTATACTGCCCAGCAAAGACTGAAGTCTTGCTATGATGGAAATAGCACCAGCAAATGATGGTGATAGAAAACTGAAAAAAAGGCATGTTGAAGAGATGAGGGTAGTATATAGCCCTTTTTTTGGAGTTAGAGTTACATTTCAGGCATTGAAATTCACTGTGTTACGAACTTGGGAAATGCCTATTGCTGGTTAGGTCCAACTCTGAAGATGCGTTTGAAAAACACACCCAAAATAACTTTCTAACAAAGGCACTCAAAATCCAGATTAAGCCACCTAAATAAGAACAGACTCACATTTTAGAGATACTCAAAGTCGTCTGGACAAACAACGCATACAGTATTAACCCATCATGGGACTTACGTCTGTAATTCACTTCTGGCTACAGTTCATTAATACAGTAGCCACCATCACAGACGTAATATACAATTTATAAGCTTGACCAAGGAGTTTAGAAAAAAATGACAACATACAGAAATTTTGGAGTGCAAAATCTGAAGTTTTTAAGAAGTCACAGTTTATAAATGACTAGATCCTGAGAGAATTTTTTTCTTAGGTCCCCAGCAGGATGATTTAAGGAAAGTCTTTAACTCTTCTGCTACAGTGTTTAATTACTGTATTAAAACACCCCAGTTGCTTTGGTCAGATTTTTAAGTTTCCTTTAAGTCAGGTTTAATTAATAATACAAATTTAAATAATTCAAGTGGGGTTTTTTGCAGCTGTACATTAAAATAAGTGCTTTCAGAACCAGTAACTTTTGCAGCACAACTTTGGATACTTTCTCATCATAATAATTAACACAAAGATTTGCACAATATACCAAAGCAGTCCAGGATTACTTCACTCCCCTACTACATATGATGCAGAATGGAGATCTTTAAAAATGTAAAGCAACAATAAATGCACACCAAAGAGAGAAAGAAGCATATGGAGAGATGCCTAAGACCCCACTGAATGCACAGAGAAGTTTATGTTTAGAGTATTTAAAACCATTGGCAGACAGTTATATTTGATGAAGTGCCACTACAATTTTTATTATTGCCTTTGAGTTAAGGGACCTGATTTTTCTACCGGTGGACCTTTTGTAGTCATTTAGACCACTATCACTTGATATAAACTTTATATTATTCTAACATAGTCACATTACATCTCTTTATTGTTTTTTAATCATTTCTAAATATTCAATTAGCCAGCCTAAACACTAAGGGTGATGATACTGCATTATTTAAGGCCAGAATCAGTGTGCTGGAAGTACTTCTACTTAACTACTCCATGTACAAAAATTGAAAAATATTTCTTAAGCAGTCAGGAAATAATACCTTAAACATCTTATATGGAATTGTAGTTACAGCAAGAATTAAAATCTGTCAGCCCAATAACTTGAAGCATTGACTAGACCAGCTCTTGCACATCTCGTGATGTTGGCGCAAGAACATACTCCCCTGTCTGTCAACCTGACCTGCTCCAAAGTGAAGTCAGGGAAAAGAAACACATACCCATGCCTCAGTCATTTCAGTAAAAGATCAGTACTTTAGTTTACACTTCTGATGGAAAGATCAACAGAAAAAGAAATTTGCAGATATCAATACACTCCCCAAATGTTTGGGCTTTCATACTTCTATTAAGTGTATTTTGTTAGCATGCATATGTGTGTGAAAAGATAAAACCAAACTTAGTAAAAGAGCTGTATTACTACATTATTTGTCAATCTGACCCAGACAATACCAGATATGTATAAAAAATTTCACATCCCATTCACAGCAATCACAGATTTTACCATTTGGAAATATTCACAAAATAAAAACTCCAAAATAAACTCTAAGTTGCACTTTGTTTTTTTCTTCCTCTGTGATTTTGCCAGTGTGTGCGCCTGTAGATGCACAGCTTTATTTTACTTTCAGACACAGAAAAAATGTTGTGCTACTCCTTTTACTGAAACAAATTTTAAAAGTTGCACATGCAATTCTGATGAGATTAAATAACTTTTGGAAACTACAGCCTACCTTCACCAAGTTTTGACATTTCAGTAAGTCTTTGACTTTCTTTCAAGTTTTATTTGATAATTAAGATAAGAGGGAGAGGGGCAGGAGGAATGGAAGACTTTAAAGTTCTTCAAGTTTTTTCACTTTAGAGGCTCAATTTATAATCACACCATAACCTAGTTTGCTTCCTCAGCACACAATCATCCTCCAAAATATCAGAGGGAGAAAGGTGACCAATTATAAGATATTAAATGAAATACATATAATCCTAAGAATAAGCAAAAGACAGATGTTGCTCCATTGGTATTAAGCATAGTAACACACGCAAAAATTGCTTCATACCTTTGCAGTCAAGCTGAAAAACCCCTTTGGTTCAATCATTTTTTCTAACACGTGGCACTTTATTCCAGCTGTGCTGTCATACTCATAAACCACTCCATATTCCAGATGAACATTGTCAACAGTCAGACTCACATGATCTTTCTTCCCATCAATTATTGCCATAGTGTTAAATTTGTCAATTACCTCTAGAATAAAGAAAATAACACAAATCAGTTGAGGAGGGTTGGCCATTAAACAAACTAAAAAGAACATAGGCAAACGTTCTAGGAACAGGTATGCTCTGATCATTCTATTTAAAAACATTAATCAAAAACCCCAGCTACCAGTTGAATGATTTAGAAATCCAAACACCAGTAGGTTTATGGATGCTAAAATACTAGATTGCTAAAGAGGCATGAACAGACAAGTCACAGTAGTCTCTCTTTACAAACAGTTATTGAAGGGGACTAATTCAATTTCATTTATAATTCAGAGACATACAAAAGCAACAAAAAAAGGGAAAACTGAGAACTTCTAAATAAACTAGAAGAAAATGACCATGAAAAGTATCAACATTCAGAAATGAAACCACAATATCAGCATTTACCCAGAGAACATACAGTTCACATGTTAACTGTCTCTTTAATTACCATGATGCATATGAATGCAGCTTTATCTAAATGTTAATTGCCTGAAAATTTTCTGAAGGATAGCTGATTCATTATTTCTCATGCAGTAGTGACTAACACATCTAATTTAGCCTTAAATGATTACTCGTGGTGAAAATAAATCAGGTAATTCCTAGGATTATGTATTTTATGAATGAAAATTGAACAGATTTTCCCTAAAGTGTTACACAGAAGCTTTTTCTCAAAATGGGAAATATAATAATTTTCAGAGAACAGCATGTTAAATGTACATTTTTAGAATACATAAAAAAGCAAATCCTTACATAAAACACATCTTACGGTCTGCTTGCAATTTCCTCTCTGAAAACAAAACCACTGCCTGTATCTTCCTTGCTACTACACCAACGTTCTGAGCAACAACAAAATCAAAACAAGCATTGCATACCTTCCACTTTGCAGTCAAAAGCATCTCCTCCATCATCTCCAGAGGGCTTGGTGTTTGTTTTCTGAAGATCTTCCTGTGCACTTTCAATGCTGTTGTAAACCCACTGTATAGAATCTTGCTAAAAAACAACAACAAAAAAGACAGCTAGGAAAAGCTTTGCACATGCAATTGATAGCAACTTATTTCACTGCTCTCAAACATGAGATAGTTGCTTTAATTCCCTGATTATTATCAGTTTTATTGCCTTCTGAGCTCCAAGTTAAAAATAATAGTTTGAAAATTACAGAGAATTTTGGCTTTGTCTAAAACCATCTGAAGCATTTCATCAACTTATTTTTTATTTCAGAGTATACTGTCATGAGACAGTATGAAATCTGTGACAGCATGACATCCATCAGTTTCATGTCTTTGCCAAAAATAATTTAAGACATTTCAAATCAAACTGCAGATTGAAAAATATTTGAGACAAGAAATCGTGAAAAAATAAAGAGAACCAATTTTTGCCTTGCTAAATCTGCTATGCGTCCATAAATCTGCTGGCAAATATTATGGAATACCAACCAAAGACATAGTATGTCCAGTTAATCTATCACTCACGTGTCACTGGCAAGAATAATATACACTACAGCCTTCATTACTTATATTTGCCTTTACTACAGTTATTTTACTAGATGTTCTTTATTTTTCCCCCAGATTAGCAAAACCAAGAGGGACAGAATCACAGGCCCCAAAAGTCCAGCATCTTATGTCATTGAGTGACATGTGAGCACAGGAACAGTGGCTTGGTCATACCACCTATGCAGAAGCTACGTGTACGCCTTACATCTTGTTCTCCCCCCTCGCTTACTCAGCCACATGCCCATCACATCTTTGTGGAAGGGCCTATCAAGAATGGCATCTCCGGACTACTCTTCTCTTCCCCTTACACTTCAAAAGAAGCTTGACAGTCAGTTAATCACTCCCTCTCCAATAGCTACAGCAGAATAAATGACACGGTTATGACTAATCTGAATAGACTTTAAAAAGAAGTTTGTGGAAGAATTCAAAGTTAAGCAAGGATAGCAAAAGTTTAAGCTGAATGTTACAATTTTCAAGCAAAATGCCAAGTACATCCAATTATGCTTTGCTAATATAAAATATTCAGCTGCTATCTTTATCCCATTAATCATAGATAACCAAATTTTTGCATGATTAAGGTACTATTTCTCTCTAGGTTTCCTAGACTCATCCATGCTTTACTTTTCACTCAATGGCACTGAAATATTTTAATGAGGAAGCTTAACTTTCAGAGCTGTCCGTTGATTGTTGGAAGACACCTGTGCACAAGCTGATCGACAGAAACACTTCTGAAACCCATGCTTCTTTGCAGATACACCTGAAAGCTTGCTGCTTATTTATGGAGTCTTACAGGTTCGATCAGCAGGATTAAGACTGCCATGCCAATCTCTAATAGGAGATTTATGCACATTATGTCAAAAGGTTCCTTCATTATTTGAACTTAATATGGCCTAATGGAAGGACTAACTACTTAAACTGGAAGTCCCTCTTTCAAAAGTTAACACAAGATATAATGCAATATGATTTGGAGCAATGTTCTCCAGAAGAATTAGAGAGGCACAAACTAAGCATAAATCTGTCACATCATGCTTAGTATCACCACAAAGAAATTGCACGTAATTCCAAGAAGTAAACTCTGCTTCCAATTTTCTTCATCCAGACAAGACAGAAAGAATATAAACATTGTCCAACAGAAGTTACACAGTTATTCACACTGCAAGAATCTGAAATGAAACTTCACACTGCAGGCCAGCAGGGAGACTCCTCACCCTGAGAAGTGGATTATACAGGAAACAGAAAAAGACCCCCTTTCAATTATGCAATTGCCAACCACAGAAGAGACTGCAATATTCGTGTTAATTAAATGATAGACTAATGCACTGTACTTAGAAAATAGGAGAAATCCATAGTCATCTTCCAAATAATTAAAAACCCAAATTTCTGAATAGGAAATGAAATTTCAGCTGTCTTGACACCAGTAAGAATACTGCCATTTATTTCAGTCTAGACAGTTCTCCCATAGCATTTGATAGCACTATATCCTAAATGAAGATTTTCTTGTCAGTCTGGGGGATTTTAGTTGTTTGTGATTTGCTGAATTACGATCAGCTACTTTTTTAGATTGAAATAAATACTCCGTATAGGAAAAACAGTTATGTACTCCAACATACTAAACAAGTGGATTAAAAAAACAGAGTAATTTTGCATGTCAAGGCATTCATGCCAGCCTACATTAATCAATCCTCTTTGGATGTCACTAATCTCTCTAGGAACTCCAGACTTACACACAGAGAGAACACACCTGCTACAAAGAATTTAATTTGTCTTTTTTTCTAGCCAGTTTTGCTATTAGTGTACAAAGCACCCTCTCTTTACTAGAGCACATCTTCCTTTAAAGAATAGGTGACCTTGATCTTGCTATGCTATGTAACAACTTCAATTCTGTATTAAGAGTCTCAACACAAACACCCAGACAAACATTTTCATAAAGACTGTATTTGCATGACACAGTTCTAACTAACTCTTACTTACAATTCTTATCTCATATCTATGCAGTAGGTGTGGGAGAAGGATTTCACTTTTGATTTTAATCGGATTTTTCTTCTCAATTAACATGCATTGGAGTTTGTGAAGTTAATTAATGATATTGGTTCACAGTTTATGAAAAATTTGCAGGGACTTGGAAAATTACATTATAGAATCCAGCTGGTTTTGGTTTTCTTCCTTAAATTTGTGTCTTGGAAGCCTTTGATTTTCTCCTATGCTAATGTGAAAAAGATAACAAAAATTGCATGCTTATATTAAAAAAAGTGAAATCTTGGGTCTTTGAATGTATGTTTATGGCCAAGATTGGAATGCAACAGGAACACAGAGACTTTTATAGATGGAATATGTGCACTCTGCTCTCTATGTGCTGAAGTGTTAATTCTGGAAGAAGATCAGATTTTTGCATTGCTTTCTCATGCTGCTGAGCAGGCAGTAAGCTGTGTAAATCCCTCTCCATCATGATGAGAATACACCTTGTAATGCTTTCTGCATAGAACTGCAGAAACACATGAAATAATCCTTTAAAAATACCATAGGAAAAAAAAATTGCTATAAGCTTAGGTCTATTTCAATGTAGAAATTAAATAGACTTTGAACATCAGCAATATATTGAGCAATCTTCAGCTTTTACAATTCAACTGGTTTGCATTCACTTTTATTCACCACTCCCTTCTCCTCATCATACTCAAACACAACAGATATGTGGACACCACACTGTTTACTTTCACCAAAAAAAAAAATTTAGAAGAAAATCTGCAAGGGTACCAAGTGAGATGTACCTGCATTGGCCGCCTGTACTTCCTGCAAGCCGTGACATGAGCAATAACACTTGCATGAGTCTCTTTGCTGACATTAATTCCGTTCACTTTGATTATGCATTGGCCAGGGTGGAGACCTGCTGCAGCTGCCACTGTTCCTATAAAAAAACCCAACATAGTTAATAGACTTCTTTTCCTAAACATCTCCTTTAAAGCTTACAGTCCAAAAGCCTCGTTTTTTAATCAGAATCTGCTCTCACCAATTCTTATATACTTCCCCTGATCACAGGGTGCTTCTGCAGTCAGCTGGACTCCAAGAAAACGGAGTTCCCCAGCAGATGATTCCATAAAAAGAGACCAGACTATTTCCTAAAGGCTGTTTTATAAAACAAATGTTGATTAGTAATATGAAAATGTGGAAAATTTGTCTTAAAGAAAAGGATTTTAAAAGGATAAAAAGGCTCTAGCTACTCACTAATTATAACTTAGATCACTTTTATTCTGAATTCTTTTATATGCCCCAAGCTTATAAGCTTCTTGACTACTCAGGTGACTCTATTTTACATACAAAAGAGAAGCTTTCTGACAATTCACAAAGAAGTATCAGAGCATACTAGGGTTTCTTGTTAAACATTAAGTGAAATATCCAAAGGCATTTCCAAGGTTTTTGTTCTTATTTTAATCTTTTTACCAACTTAATTATAACAGAGTGCCTTACAGCTTTAATCAAAATACCCAAAGATAATCAAGTAGGAGATCTCAAATTTAATTATTGGGGG